ACCGGCAACGGGATCGCAAGCCTCGGTGTTGCTCCCGCGCCTCACTCAGCCAGTGAGCGGGAACCGGTCTGTATATGGGATCCGAACCCTCGGACGGGAGCGCTGCCGCGCTTCCCAAGCGGCACACTATCCAGTGCGCCGCCGGGCCGGCCCCTATATCCAGGCTTTTAAATGCCTTTTTTGGTATTGCCTGATAAGAAGTCAAATAAGTTTTGGGGTTAAGAACTGAGAACATAAACCAAAGAAAACCAAGAATAATTAAACTACTGACCGCCAGAGGAGTCTCTCTCCAGCTTCTAGATAGTAATTTTACTTTTTTGGCCAAAAGTTTCTTCTTCAGCAGAGTTCTCAATTCTGAGTTAATGTAGCTTCTCTTTGAGCTCTCCTCCCAAAGTCCACCATCTCATTTTCTAAGACAAGCTCAAGCTCACCAAATCATCACTGTAAAAAAAGCTTCAGGGGAGAGACATTACTCTCTTAATTCAAAAGCTTCATGTCACAGAGACAGCCAAAATCATGTGACTGCTAGCCTCAGCTCAAGGAGTATGCCCAAATCAACACAAAACAGGATTCTTTCTCTTTTTATTAATTTTTAAGGGGACTAGGAAGACAAACAATTTGGTCAAGCTGAAGGTGACAGGTATTGTTTTCTCAATGCCCCAATGAGGCTTCTCAAATTCCTGAAGGTTATCAAGTAAAGACCGGAGTTTCTGGGACTAATGCAAAAACAGGGTCAAAAAGTAAAGCAGCCCTTTTAGAGGCAGTGGTGGAAGGCTACTGGCTTCCAAAGGAGAGTCTGCCTAAAATCTCCAGGAACCCAGGACCTGTAGTGACCTTAAGTCAACCCAATGCACAGACAACAGTATCTTTTATGGATTGCCGTCAATGTTCCCCAATTTACAACTTTTTTTTTACCTTAAAATCTCAAATGTCTCACTACTTTATGTGACATATAAAGTGACAAGGAAAACACAGCTCTCCTGGATGATGAGGTCTCCATAGCAAAGCTCACCCCAGAGCACAGAGGCTAACTCTATGCATAGTGCTCTCCCACCCACTCCAAGTGTGGGTGCCCAGATGGAGGCAAGGCTGAGCCACTAACATGGGCAACTCCACAGTCTGGAAGCCTCCCACAATCTTGAGGAAACAGGCTCCATCCAACAGGGCTCAGAAGAAATGACTGCCACCTCAACCGGGCAGCGGGAACTGCAGAGCTTCGGGTCTGACCTCTTTTGCAGTCTTTAAAATATGAACTAGAAGAGCCATCCATTATTTAATCACTATTAAATAATCTCCTCCTTCCCCATAGCTGCTTGAGTTAATTGTCCTGCACATCTCCAATTTTTGGTAAAGATGTGGATTATTTTCTGAAATGCAGATGGGACCGGGATTAAGGTATATTATTAATTACAACCAACTCTCATTTCTCTTAAAGCAAAAATTCATCCCACTGCAGTATTTCCCTCAATTCTAAATCTACTTTTAACTAGGACGGGCTTGGAGAACACTTCAGAAATATTAAAATCACACATTTGTTGCAAAAATCACATTGTGGTTATTAAATCTTTTTTGTGAACTAAAAAAGTGAATTATGGCTCACGCTAAGCTGTTTTTTAAAAAAAAAAGATGAAGGGCACTCCAACAAAGGCATTAGTACAGAACTAGATGGAAATGAGAAACAGGTGAAGCATGACACGTGAAACAAACACCCAGGTTTAACAAAAGAGATTGCATCTCTGGTTAAGGAGGCTTGAAAGGAGCCTCCAATGAGCACTGTATGTGGAGAAGAGAAAGGGGAAGGAGGAGGAGGAGGAAAGATTCTACATAGAACTTTTTTCTTCTTTTAAAAGCCACAAATGGTGACTTTCTTCTTCTAAGCAAGCCTAAGAGACTTTACACATCTGACTCCTAACATCAAAACAGAAAATATTTCTTTGCAATAAAGGAACTTGACCATGGAACACATTTACAAAACTACTGCAAAACACTGCCGGAGGGCAGTGACCTACTCTGCTCCCCAGAGGCTATGAGAAGCAAGGCCTCAAACACCTCACTGTTCCATGAGACTGCACAGCACAATGCAGAGGGCGGAAATCCTGCAGCGACACCACCTTCTAGGCCTTCCGTGGCCTCAGAGGGGGTGATGCTCCCACACCCTTTGATCCCTCCAGATGGCTCAGCCTAGACTCAGCAGTGAAGGAGCCCTCTCCACTCAGGGCAGATGGGGAGATGGACACTTATAAAAACAAAACACAGTCAATTCATTAACCATTCCATCCTGTTATGTTTGCTAGGAGAAAAATCAAGACTCCTGTTTCAAGGCTACTATCTTTCTGGAAGGCTACAGAAAATCTAACCTGGTTGACTCCTGGTAGTGCACCTCTCTCTCTCTCTCTCTCTCTCTCACACACACACACACACACACACACACCACGCCAATGAAGTCCTGATTCAAAAAGATGATTGCATGACTTCACTGGTGTTTCCCCAATGTCTGCAATTTATAAACTACGATCAAATTTTAATTTAAAAAAATTCACTGCTATCTTTTTCTATCCTGAGTATGGTGGACTGTGATGGATGCTCCAGTAAAAACCAGAATGTAGGACATGCAAATTCACTGTGTGCGAGAGACTATGGATCTACCCTAAACATAGGAACCTCTAACCTGAATGAGCACTGGTAAGAATCTATGGCAAATAAACGTCAATGAAATATTCTGCAAATAGGGTAGTTTTTTATACTTCCTTTTGTTTCTTTTCACTTTCTTTGGGGGAGATAAAGGTTATTGCAACCATGGGTCTAACTAATCTATTACAAAAGGACTGTGCCTATGCATCAGTAAAGACAGCCGTGGTGTTTATGGTGCCAGGGAGGGAAAAACACCAATCCCTGCTCAGCAGAATCCCAGTGCAACAAAAAATAGCACCGGTTTCAACAATTCTGGTGTTGGACAAAGGCTGCTTCTGTCAGTTAAAGCATCAGCACAATCTCTCCAGTTAACTGCATTAATAGGATGCATTCATGTCACTGAAAAATATTTCTTGGATGACTTCATTTTCTTAACCCAAAGATACCAACAACAATCAAAACTGGACTTTTTGGGGTAGTATATTGTTACACCAGCCCAGCCAAAACATCTTCAGATCATTAAAAAGTGTACAAATTACTATTAATACCACAGTTCCTTTTTCAGGAATACTATTTTCCTGTAAAGCACTTTCAATCTGTAACATAAAGGTAGAATTTATCTAGAGGAATGTAGTTTTGGGATTCTACTTAGTGCTTAGTTAAATTTATTTTATTTTTCCCTTTACTTAGACAGAACCTTAGAATGCTCTAAATCAGGCAATAAGAAGCACTATACTCATTTTAAAGTAGGACATATGAACAGCAAGTTGGTGTTCAGACTTAAGTCCCATGGTGTTTCTATCCACTAGGACCCTTACTTGGGGATATAATTCTTTTCCCAAAGGTATGATGGTTTCACAAGAAAATTGCC